AAAAGAACAAAATGAGACAGCAACTCATAACAGGGCATCTCTACGGCACCAAGGGAGAGGAGGCTGCTCCGGCAGCAGCCGAGACCTTCCAAGTTGGCATCACCGCATGGAATAATCTTCCAGTCCCCATTTCCTAGGGGAACGGGCTGAGCTCGGAAGAGGCTGCAGGGCATGGAGCCCCCCAGCCCCTCACAACTTCTGGGAGGCAAAGAGCAACGCCATCTTTTGGCAGGGTGCCACTACCCCACTGGAGACTGGGAAGTGGTGTGCGGTATTCGCAAGAACAGAACAGGGCACTGCCATCCACCGAGGTCAGCTATAAGGAGAGAAAGAGCTGGGCACGGCACCCCTCCAGGACGAAGCACAAGCTCCCGCTGTCCACGGACCCAGCAAACGTGGACAGTGTTGGATTGGGACCATGCTGGGAACCTGGGAGTTCGGAGCGAGAGGGGCACAGGGCCAGGAGGCAACACTGCAGACAGCTTGCCTGCTGCTCCATCCACAGGAGCAGAGAGAGCCCACAGCCTGGGCAGAAGACTTGGGGAAACTCCCAACATGCAGCAGCCACAGGGAAACATGCCTCCTTCCGCCCACCGTTCAGAGGGGCCTTGCATGCTGCAACACAGCAAGGAAAAGGTGCTTGCTCGCTTTCTACCCACAGCTCTCAGCCACCCGGCCAGCCAGGGAATTCTGGGAGCTGTAGTCCCAGAATCTTTCCTAGCTCTGCCTTGCAACAAGGTGTTTGTTTTGTTGTTTTTTGTCTGCCTCACAGACACAGGTACACTTGCACGAACATGGACTTGACCATGGTTAGGGAAGGGCCTGATCCCTGCCCCATGACAGCACAAGGCCTGCCCTTTGGCCCCACGTTCTCAGGGTGTGGGTTGGGCCGGGCTTACCCTCGGCCCCTGCCTGCCAGAGAGAGTGAGAAGGCATGCAGAGGCTGCTGATGCAGAATCCACCCCAATGCTCAAAGGTACAGCTGCATTCAACGTTAAGTGCTCTCTGCTTGCTTGCTTGCTTTTATGTTTGTAAAGGAAGTGCCCTCTAGCCTAACTCAGCACAAAATGTTCTCCAGGCTGCAAAGCAGAAATGCCTCCCTCATCTCTGAGAGAAAAGGCTGAATAGAAACCATCTCCTGGAGATGTGTGGCTCAATGGAATACTGCAAAAGAGCTGAGCATCTTAAAACGGGGAGGGGCCAACCTCCCCGGCTGGTGGAAAGCACTGGGAAGAGAAGGAGAACGTCCATAGTTAGGCTGTCACTCTTGGTGCAAAGGGGTTGACTTCTGTGCTAACACGGTTGCGTGTGCCTTGTGACTCTGCCCTCATAAGACCATCATGTACACGTCAGCCTCACTGTCTGGCCATCTTGGCTCAATTCTCCAGGGTGCAGAAAGGGTGGCCATCCCAGGCCCGTCAACCAAGAAGGCTGCAGACGGCACATGCAAAAGCCCCAAACATCCCAGCGACCGGGAGTTGCATTTCTGTGCGTGCGTGCCCTGGCCCTTTCTCAGCAAGTCCAGCAGGTTCCCCCCCCCGCCACCACCACAAAGGAGGATGTGCCAAAGCATCCGATGGCTAGAAACATCTCAAATCAGGACCTTTCACTACACGCGCTTGACCTCTCGGACAGACACAGCTCATCTCAGATGAGGAGCTAGACTTTCCAGTATGTAATGTGTGGAGTTCCATTAAGCCTTCAAAGACTGGGCCGGGTGGGGGGAGCAGCAAGGGAGGATTTGAGGGGCTGCTTTATGGCAGGCTGAAGCCATGTTTCCCTTGCCCGTAAATAAAACAGTCAAGGCCTGCTGGGTCTGGGCGGGCAACCCTGGGGAGTCAGGGGGGCTTTGTGGGTTTCTGAGTTGTCATCCAGGGACGGCAGCACAGGCTACCAAAAACCAGCTCCACTGTTCACCTGAACCTCAGTCATTCCACGTAACAGATTTACTTACTTGACACAACTACGCAATGGACAGAAAAGAACCACTTTGTACCAGAAACCTGCAGACCATCAAATATACATGTCTGGCTTCCACCTGGACTTCCACCTGGAACACACCACAAGTCCTGCTGTCCACAGTGAAAACATAGATTAGATCACTTCTGTTTTAATTCAGCACGGAGTCCCGACCTAAAGAGTGAAATCCATCTTTTTCTGAAATTGCAATATCCACCAAACTAAGAGGGAAAAGCATCTGCATACTGATCAACTGGGACAGGTGGAAATTTAGGCATCATCTACCAAGCACCCTCAGAGGAAAAAACATTTCAGGCCAGTTTGTTAGTTCTCAGCTGAGGGAGGCATCATGAGTGATCTACATGTCATTCTCTGATGAGACGCCTCTCACAGGGTTTGGGTGGTAGGCCTGTACTTGTCTACAGACAGCTATCTGCCTTTAGGTTACCTGCCAGTAAAGATAGATGCTGATGGGGGAACTACAGCCTGAGACACATCCAGATGCCAACTCAGTCCTCACGTCTACTTGGACAACCTTGTTCCAAGACTGGACGGCGACGTCATCTACCACCCCAGGGCTTCTGTATACCCGTTTACACTCTGAAGCGATTTGTTGTTATTAAGTTGTGTCTGACTCTTTCGGACCCCATGGACCAGAGCACGCCAAGCCCTCCTGTCTTCCACTGCCTCCCGGAGTTTGGTCGGATTCATGTTGGTAGAGTGACAGAGACCATTATTTGTCATAATCAGCCCTCAGAAGTTAACCCAGGGAGAACAGACTAGCCTTCAGCACAAAGGAAAAATGGGCACAAACTGGCCAAAAAACTGCTGGAACAATAATCTCCAAGGGCAAGGCCCAGATCCCCCGTGCACTCTGACAGTCTCTGCTGCCAGCGGTTGGGATTTCCCACCCCCCTTCTTCAGTGCTCTAAGGCGTTTCTCAGCCTTCCAGAACGGGCATTTGGGGCACACAGGGCAGCAGCTGCAGGATGGAAGAGCATCACCTACTCTAGAGGAGGCAGCAGGATCCTGTGAAAGGATGCCACTGGATCAAGTCTTCGATTGATAAGCTTGCTGAATGTCAAAGGTTCCAACAGAAAACAGCTGAAAAGAATTTGTCACAGAGTGGTAACTTAAAAGGGGAGCAAGAGCTTCTCTTTTTATCCTAATCAAACGATGCTTATCTGCGATTATCACCCAACCCCTGCCATTCAACCCCACTAACCTCAGCGGGTGTACAACTGTCTCATTCCCCATGGCACCATTCTCCCTTACGAGACTCACGATGGCTTCTCACAGTCAGGAAAGGAAAAACTTTCCCTTCAAGGCAGGGCCTACACCAACACATCTCGCTATATTGGCCACGTCCCTGTCAAGGGTAGATTCACGGCGTGTTTGGAATATAGCCTTCCCTTGGTTTCTTTATTAAAGTTGAGCCTGCAAATTTACCATGTGGATTAAGGTTCAATGAATTTTTTTTATTGTAATCCAAAAGTAACAGAACAGGGCTGTAATGCTTTCTTATTAAGTCCTCCAGCTGATATTTGTAAGCCAATACCAGCTTTTAAAACTTTTTCTGACAGGCAATTTTTAAAAAAATTAAGTGTGAAATTTTTCACAGTACAGTAAACTTCACCCAAACTAATTTAATGGTGGTTAAAAATAAGATGCCCCCAAATAAAAATAAAATAAAATTAAAAACCCTCTGGCCTCCCCTCCCCCCTATTACATGGTCACAACTCACAAGTCTGTACAAAATGTTCACTTTATAAAGCTCTGATGTAAAAATCAAATCAAGCAGCAATTGTGTAAGTGCAGCCACAGGGCCTGTCATGGCATTATTTACAAGGCTTGTGTTTATATTATAGCAAAATTTCCGACAGGTGACTTGGTCAAGTCCGTCGCCTGGCCTCCCCTCGGCCCTTTCTAGACAGTGACAGGTTTTGCTTTTTGGTCGTCTCTCTCCTTCTCTTTCTCCTTGTCTTTGCTCTTCTTTGACTTCTTCTTCTTGTGTTTGTGTTTTTGGCTCTTCTCGGCCTCGGACTCGGTGCCAGCATGCTTCTTGTGTTTCTTGTGCTTCTTGTGCTTCCTGTGCTTCTTCTTCTCCTTCTTTTTCCGCTTCTTCTTGCTGTCCTGGCTGTCAGCGCTGCTGGCGCTGCTGCTGCGGCTCCGCCCCTGGCTTCCGGAGGGGCTTTGGCTGCGGCTCGGGCTGGGGCTGCTTTGGCTCTGGCTCCCCCCGGGCTGGGTAGCCAACGCTCCCGCCGCAGGGGCCTCTTTGACAGGCTTGTCGGTGGCCCTCTCCTTTCCATCCCTTGCGTTCTTCCCTGGGGAATCTTCCGGTTTGGCTGATCCATTGCTGTCGCTGTCACTTTCATTGTAGTCTGGGACAAACGCGGCCTCGTCGGTTTCCCGTGTTGGGTCCGAGGAGAGCCGGGAAAAGTGGCTCGGCTGAGGCTTTGGCTTGGCTCCACTCTTGTCATTCTGAAGGGCCCCTGGCTCCCTCGCCTCCGGGGAAGGCCGCCTGTGTAAGGACTTGCTCCCACCCATCGTCCTCTCTTTACTGCTCCAGGTCTCGGAGGATGGGCGCTTCTCCCTTTCTTTGCCTAATCCCCTTTCCTGAGACTTGTGCTGTTCTGCGGAGCGCCTGGACTCATACGTCGTTTTGTGATCGTTCTGCCTTCGCTCCCTTGTGGGACTGTAACTGCTCCACTTCACATCCCAGGGATCCTTCTTGGTCTGTTCTGCTCTCTCTTCCCTGGTCTTACTACTCTTCAGGCCAGACGTGGCAGAATCCCGGGTACGGGAAGGGGAGATCTTCTTCCGTGCCGGATCACTCCTGTCATCTCTTCGCTTAGCACCTGAAAAGTCCCTGTTACTGCTGCTATCGTAGTCGTATTTTTTGTCCCGGTTTGGAGTGAAGTCTTTAGCAGAGGACGTGTGAGCAGCAGCAGTAGCAGCATCATGCTTATCGGGACCCCTGTTCTCTCTGGACGAGTGGGAAGAGCTGCTCTTTACAGCGCCTTGCTCGGCACTGTGTTCAGAACGCTCTTTTTCAGGCTGGGCCCCGCTCTTCCTTTTCTCCAAAGCCTCCCTCTCCGAGGTCGTGTGGTCTCTCTCTCTGGCTTTCCCTTTTTCATTTGATGTCAGGCTTTTGGAACTCTTGGGCTCAGGCTGCGAGCTTTCACGCCCAGTTTCTTTTGTTGCTGCTCTCTGGTTTTTCTCTACATGCTCAGGATCCTTCTCACTGTATTTGAGGGAGCTGGAGGGCTTCAAGCTGCTGACATTTTTGACAACACTAGTAGGTTTCCCAGCAGCAGAAGGAACCTGGGCGGGTTTAACATTGTCCTCTTCCTCTTCCGAGTCAAAATCGTCTTTGTCCCACTTGGACTGTGGAACCTGGATCATGATGATAACATCTTCGGCAGGGGCTGTAATGTCATTGTTGTACTCTTCCATTGTCTTGATGACCGTTCGCTTTGTGTCTAGTTTATCTTCGGACTTCCTTACAGGGCT